ACCAAAGACAAAGATATACTGCATGTCCTGGCAGGTTATTACAAATGGAATTCCACAAGCTTTAGGAAGACAGAGTTCATATGCCTTTGGGATAAAAAGATCTTTAGGAAAACCACTGATAATGGCTATCAACAGTATGATACCTGCCTGTAAAGTGAGAGGCGAAGTGATTAGACATTATGATTCCCCAGCATGTGTTGATGAGAGAGATTCTTGGAAAAAGTCAGTTATGAGTTTACTGGATATCCACTTATGGTTGAATTACTGAATTATATATTAGCAATTATGCATTTTTGGCACAATCAATCCCATCTGACAGATGAATGAGTAATCACGAACTATAGAGGTTATATAGTTGACAAACCAGTTTATGAAGTTCATGAATCACATTGTTTCAGATATTCTTGCATTTTCTTTCTGAAAATGTGTCACTGGGACACAAAGATAGTCAATTCCGACAGACAATATGAGGATATCATTACAATGTAAGCATTTTTTTGTGAACATAATGGCGTTTTATTTAAATTAAACGTTTCTGCTTTGCTGAGTTGGGACCCTTGGTTCAATTAGTCTGTGTGGAGTCTGTATTTTCTTTCCATGTTTGCTTTGATTTCCTCTGAGTGCTCCATTTTCTTCCCACAGCTCAAAGACATACTGTACTTTTAGATTAACTGGCTTCTAGAAGCTTCTAGGAGCACTGTCCCTGGTTACATCACAGCTCCAAGGGGATCCTACATAAATAAGTGGTTTTCATGACTGTGACAGTCTTCTAAAAAGCACACAAGTTTGACAATGGAAATGTTTGGTAATGGAAATGATATTGGAAATGTTTTGACAAAGTTCATACTTTGGAAAAATAAAACATTTTGGGAACAATAAAATGTCAAATAATTTTGCCCGTTGTGCTTTTCATGTCTCTGTTTATGGCTACAATTCCCATAGCCACAGGAGAGAATGAGGAAGTGCAGCTCGACTCCTCTCACCTGCCATCTTTGAGCCATTCATTTTATAACGTGTCACAGACAACACAGACCTGTACTGGAGGTTCAGTGCTCACTGGAAGAGAGTCTGCCCGTACCTGTGAAACCAAAGGGGTTGCCGTGTCAACAACAGCCGAGAAAGTCAACTTATCTCACTCTGCCCCTGGTGGCACTCAACCATTTGTGCATAGTCACTTGGGGAATCCCAGTCACAGGTGGTGATACAGGGTGGGAATTTAAAAGCCAGATGAGGAATTAAAAACCAAAGCCGAAGTCTTGATTTGAAAAAAAAAACAACAACTGTATTTTGAATTTGAACTTAATTTCTGAGGTATTTAGACAACTTTATTACTGATTAGAATGGAGTAGAAGATCATTTAAAAAAGCCAGATTTTTGGTACATTATATATTTTTGCAGAGAGTATAACATAAATCCATAAAACTTTAATATGGATTTATGTTATAATATGTCAAAAACAGTGTACGGTATTTGATTTAAAAAAGTGATGGCATATCTATAAAAAGTAATATAGTTCTTTCTGAAATGTAGTAATAAAATACTATTCATAATTTATTCTAAAAATAAGCATGTAGTGTGTATTTATTAGTGCACCATATTACAGTAATTGCAAGATTGTGCTAAGAAGTTCAGCTAATTATATCATAACATTTTTTTTTCTGTCAGTAATGGAAAAGCTTCAAAAGAAATATTATTCAATGGATGGAAAGTTTGTTTTTTTTGTACACTTTTAGTCTTTACTAAAAAGGTCTTGCTGTTCTGGAAACAAAGATCCTGCTGAGCTAGTCTCAAAAGAATGTACTACTCCTGTAGCCTAAAAAAACTAAACCTTTTAGTTTCAAATGGAGCAAACTATGCAGAGATCTGGTTGAAGCACTGAAAACTTCAAGGTATTGACAAAGTCAGCCTTATGGGTTTCTTAGCAAGGTACTGTAACACAAATCAGAGGATCCAAACAGTAACTAAGGTGAAGGCATGTCTTTATACAATGGCTTGTGGGAGGCAGGTGAGCTACAATACTTAATCATATTGTAAAAACCGATACCCTAAAAAAAAGACATAGGGGATCGTCAAATTATTTAGCTACTGTACTACCAAATAGGCTAAATAGCTCAAATGGTTGCCTCTTATTTATATGCATTCTTTTGTTTTTAGTCCAGTGTGTAGAATGATGAATATCTCAGTATTATTTGGTCTGAAAGAAAGCTAGCATTGTCCTCATTTCCTCCATGTTGGTACATGGGTCATAGCAGTTAACTGAGTAACAGGGCAAAACTGGAATCAAAATATATAAGATAAATAAAACATGAATTAAAACATCTGCCTTGTTTAACTTTTTTCCTAGACCTGCCTTAAGGGGAGAAGGAGTTTGGAGTCTGAGGCAGAAACATAACATATTGGAAGTGGAATCAAGAAGTAGGGTCTACATCATATGGAATGCTTTACAGAGAAATAGTGTGTTTTTTATATACGTATCTACAATTCTTAGCATAAAGATGTTGCTTTGCCTGGCAAAAGTGATCTGCTAACATTTTAGGTCTAAATAACAAGGTCAGACAGGCTTACTTAGTAAATATGCAGCTCGGCATTATTCCCAGACAAAAAAAAAAGAGTAATTTTTAATCTCAGTGTTTAACATGATCATTGCAGCGGAAGAGAAGGCACATCTGTCTCTGCTCTGCTCTAGATAAACTGTGAGAGGACATCTGGATTTGAGTTGCTCTTTTTTAATGTGATGATACTCTTTTCTGAATTATGTTTTTAAAATGTATGGCTCTTTCTGACATTTCCAAAGGAAAATACAGAAAACAACATGAATGTGAATGAAAGGGATTGGTCTTTAATCAGAATAATAGGACAGCATGTTGAGTTCATATTGCACATATCACATTGTTATGGTTGGCAATAGGCTAGCCACAAGAACTAAAGGATTTATTTTGAGTGTTAAATTAAGAAATCAATGTGCTTTTTTATTCTACAAACGTGGTTTTAAAAATGGCAGACTAATGCAATTAAAACACACTAGAATCAATTTAATGTACCTTATATATATATCAGATTTTTAATACCTGAGCAATCAAGAAGACAAAATAAAAACAGATACAGAGTTAAGAAGGCTGTGACTGCTCACACACCACTATCAAAATGGCTAGACCAACTTAGTACAATGGGCATAGACAGATGGCAACCAGATATTTTTTAAAATATCAGCAGATCCATGACCTTAGTTAAGTACTTTGTACTAGGCACCATACCTTTAAATTAGTGCATCATATTCCACCCCCTGTCCTTAATTTTCTGTAGTTTTATTCTTGAATTTTAAAGATGCTGATGAATACATAACTAATAGTTACCTGGACTTAAAAATGAGTATAAACCATGGGCATTAGAATAATTTCATATACATCGCATCATCCAGGTGGGGCTGCACATTGGTGGTGGTGGAGGGGAGTCCCCATTACCTGTAAAGCGCTTTGAGTGGAGTGTCCAGAAAAGCGCTTTGTAAGTGTAAGAAATTATTATTATTATTATTATTATTATTATTATTATTATTATTATTGTTGTTGTTGTTGTTGTTGTTACTATTTTACTGATGGCTTTATCCATGATGAAACTCAAGTTTTAAAACAATCAATGAATTGTAATAATGTATAACTCAGTGTGGTATAATTGTATAATTAGGTGACTATTTTTCTATCACATAACAATGACCAAACAAAAAATGTATATATTTCAGTATCGCACATTCAAATAATAATACAGTGTGTATAAATAACAAGCAAGCAGTTTGTCTTTTGTCCACTGGAAGCCTATTGATAAATAATTACAAATGTTTTTATATAATGATAATCTGGTTTTATAATTTTATATTTTTTTCACTCTAACAAGTGGGAAAAGAAGCATAGTCGTCTTGAAGGGTTAAGACGTCATTCCTGGGGGTATTACACAGTTCAGCTTTTGTAGTGCATGTTTTGATTCCCCACTGGAAAAAAAAAACTCATTATAAAAAGAGATGGAATAGCTAACCTTATATGTTTCCATAAAAAATAACTTCTGAAAATTAAATTATTTTACTTATATTGTTTCTCCTTCTATCCTCGACATTACAGGTAATGGGGACTCCCCTCCACCACCACCACTGTGCAGCACCCACCTAGATAATAATTTGTTTCACTAAAAATGTATGCTACGTTTATGAATATTGATCTCAGCTTTTACATGACAAAATCTAAACATACAAGCCACCTTCGTTATTTCATAGATTGAACATAATTTGGACCGATCGTACAGAATGTGCCTAAACAGTAATTCCATTATCTTCCAGCTGGGAGGGTTTGGGGTTTATCAATGGAACAAGGAAATACCGATACACTATGTACTTTCTCCATTCAATGAATGTGCTGTATTCCCGTACATTAGTTGCACGATGACTTATAACCTGTCTAGAAATATCATAATTGACTTCCCTTAATTTAGATAAAAAATGCAAAATAAAAACATAGTTCAGGTACGGATCTCCATGCTTTTGACAGAACAGGTACAGCGTCTCCTTTCGGTGCACTCCTATCGCCCCAATCAACTTTACGGTGACCGTAGATCTGCGATTAGTGACGCAGTTATTTTACGGTGGAAGACGAGCGTCCTTTTTTATAAACTACTGTTCTTATATTATTTTATGATACAGGAACCGTATAATCTGTTTTACGAAAATCACACACCGATATATATTGAAGTCACAACAACGATTAATGTTTTTTTTTCGTTAGGAAAACGATTTGCCAAGTTCATAGCAAAATAATTACACGTCTAATTACAGATTTTATTTTCAATGTAATACGCAGAGAGACATGAATCACGAGACCATCTATTATTAATATTTTTTCCAGAATGGGGTTCTTAATGGCATTGTTTAATTCTCATCTTTTCTCTATTATATGGTAACAAGACTCCCATTTAGCGTCAGAGTTTTTCGTTTGATTGACAAGGCCCATCCGGAAGATTACGCCTTCGTTCCTTGGTGGAAGTGACGTAGAGCTGTCAACATGTAAGATGGCGGCTCATCACAGGCAGAATGCTGCTGGGCGGAGAAAAGTGCAGGTAAAATCTGTTTTTTCATCGGATCTCAGTATGTGGAGTGAAGGGTACAGGTTTAATTTAGTACAGTGACCCTGGGTAAGGATGTGTAGAACATGCGAAACGAGATAAAAAGACGTTCGTATGAACAGTTGCATTGATGTGGCTGGAATAGGGCAGGTGGTGTTCACTTAGAGGATGAGTGTACTGTAGCTGCAACATTTAGAAACTGTACTGCATTGCAATGCTCGACTAATGGGGTTCAGCTTTATATTGAGCGTATGAGCCAGAAGGATCGCTGATCACCGCATAATCGATAAATCATTCAGGTCTCGTTTAAATCTGTGAGAAAAGGTAGATTTTGAAAGGCCCGGGTTCTTGGCGGTTCTATGCAACTAGCTGTTAATTCAATGGTTCTCACAGTACTAGTCGTTGAATCCGTGTTTAGATGTACAGTATTAATCGCGGAACACAGATCTGTTAAGATTTGTTGAATAGCGAAATATGGTTTATATGATACCGAAAGTTTTTTTTCTTTATATTTTTTGATGACCTTAACCTATTTAGATTAGGACAGTAATTTCGATCCAGGTGACACCAATTGAATTATTCCCAAATGGTAAATTTGTTACATATCGTGGTATGTTTCGTTAAAATACCTGTCTCTGTAGGTGATCTGTGATACGTATTTATACGTGTATGTGCAGTTATGAATATGAAAACAGTGTATATTATATTATACAGGTATTCACAGAAGGGTGGCATTAATTGAAGATGATGGTTTTAGGTTAATATTTCCCTGTCTTGCTCATTTTTGTTCTAATTGAATGCTTCATTAGTCGTTACTTCATTAGTACTGAAACCCTAATTGATGTATTTGTTTGATGTTTGAGTGAAGATTATTATCGGTCCATGTAAAGACACAAATGGGAAAGACAGGCACTCGTCTAAGATTAAATATTCTTAGCACTGTATAAACCCATTGGTTAAATTCCACCTTGAAACAGTACATCTAGATGACATGAATTCTGAAAGATGATTGCTTGCATAGAGCTGAGTTTTGAGTTTTTAGAAAGTCAACTAATTTCAGTGTTCAAAACAAGGTTTCTCTGGGACTAGGATTGGGGAATTACTGTTTTTAGATCAGTAGGTCCTGCTGTATGATCCAAATGTACTTCGTTATTTCAGATTCCATAATGGAAACGCATGTTTCTAGAGGCAGCATACTCCCCTGACTTTATCTCTTCAGAAATATTACTCACTACTAGTGTCTTTTGTGATACTGTCATTTATTTGCTTGAGTTTGACTTGATTGATGCAGGAGTTTATGTACAGATACTTAACAGTGACTAAAATATTTTGGTACTCATGTTAAGAAACACAATGTGAAACCGTAGTAAATACAAAAAAGTTGGTCTTTTAATGATTTAGTGTCTGGCACACATTTCATTATTAAATTGTCCTTTAGTTTTAATGAAACAAAGACATTAACAGATTTTTTTTTTCTTGATTTTGGACATGGACTTGATTTAAATGACAATCGTAAGACTGATTAAAGTGCTTACCGTGGTAAAATGTAGCAATTCTCTTGCTTTAAAGTATTCAGATGTACTGTACATTTGTATGTGTTATACTCTACAAGTAAAGCTGCAATAGTCCAAATGTATCTTTTGTATATTAAAATGAGAGCATTAAAAGAAATGCACCAATCTATACATGTGTGTTTTTAGAAAACTCTGCTTTCTGTGTTCTTGACTGGTCGGATCAATCTCCTGACCTCAATGCACTGGAATGATTGTAGTTTAAATTCAAGAAAGCAGTTCACAAATATATACCAAAGGATCAAGTAATAGGTTTATTCCATGCTGAAAAAAAGAAGAAAGAGAACACAACGTTTCGGCCGTGGAGCCTTCTTCAGGTGTGAGCCTGAAGGTCCTTTACATACCAAAGGATGTAAAGGACCAAGAGCAATGCTGCCTGGGGGAATGGCCAAAATTCCATACCTGGAGGAAATGCCAGAACCCTCATGGCACAATACTAGGAGACCTATCTTTACAATCCATGCAGAGGGAGGATATATGAAAGATTTTTCGGTTTCTGAATTAATTTGACTGGTGTGTTTTCTGGTCGTCTGATAAATTTGACTTTGCTTTGTGCAATGCTATCAACACTGCAATGTAACATTTTTAGGATTTTTTTAAGCAAGACACATTATTCATTCCATAAATCTTTTTGTTCTGTGTTCTATCTCTTATTTGATTAGGTGAAAGAATAAAGCTGGAGGCCTCTGTAAATTGTTGCGATTGCAAACGCCTGATAAGAGACTGTTTATAGCACTTCTCACCATATCAATACATTTTATCTCTTGAAGCCCTACATTGCGTGTGCTGACCACTAAGCCATTAACTCATTTTTTTCCATGGCCAGGACATGTTGAGGTTTTACCATTTGTGAACTCTACACCTTCTTTACAAAACCCCAGTAATAACTGGAAGAAATCTGAAAGAGAAGGCGGTGAG